GAATCGTTTCTTGAAATTCTGGGCATGGCGCTCAGCTGGCACGCGAATGTTTCCCATCAGTTTGATTTGATCCAGGCATCCCCCTCAAGAGCACCGGTGTGTTCTGCCCAAGAGATTCGAGTTGCAAGGCATCTGGAAATGTCAAGAGTGCTGAAGGTTGGGGGTAGTTGTTTCTCTCTTCTTCGCAAGATGAAACCCTCGGGGAGCTTAATTCATCAAGACACCACCCAAAAGCTTCCAGTCTGATGCTTGTTCCTATAGAAAAACCATGTTCAAAACCATGAAACAGAACAGAACATCTTTGAGTTGGTGCAACTAACTTAGACTCGGAACCTAAAGCTTGTTGCATTAGTGATATCCACTGTAGTCTAGTCCCGAGTACGTTGTGAGAGCCTTGATCGAGCATCAGGTGAGAGCAAACAATTCCTCAAGAGCTGCTTGCAGGTTTAGACTCTGCATAGCTGATGGCTGACAAGAGAAGAAGCATGGCAAGCGAGGCAATGATACAACACAAGGATCTGTGAGGTTTGAAGAAGTCCCTCAACTGCTCATGGGTACGTTAAGCCACTGCGAGCATGGTAAGGGACAAGGAGAAGCTTTAAAACATGACTCCACTAGCCTAGTCACACCCACAAGCTTACGCAAAACACTACACTCGACACATCGTGTATTAACCAAAAACCCAAGCTCAGGGGACTCCGACTTTGAACCCAGGGCTGCATCGGAGCCATAGATTAAATCATGCACAGCATATAGTATATGCTAGCAGTTAGAACCACTAGCCTTTCAAAAGGGGGAATCCGAATTGTGGATCCCTATCTCCATTCCATCATTTTTCTTATTAATACATAGCATTCTTTTATTCGTGCTTCTTCTCTGCCCTTGGAGATCGGGCTTTTTTCTCTTTTGTTTTCTTACTAACAATAGATTTCCAGCCAAGAGGAGTTTTCACACCTCTTCATTTGGCAACCACGGCTTTTGAATTCCCCTTTAGGTTCACAAATTCTTCCATTCTTTCTCCATTCTTTGTGCGCAGATAGCAAGAACGATCAAGCAATCTACCCAACTTGCCAAAATTCACTACCCAATTTGCCACCCAATTTGCTACCCAATTCGCCACCCAATTCGCCCAAATTCAACAAACAAATGCCACCACCAATATGGATCAACGGCGTCCAAGTGATCGCCGCCCAACGCAGTAGAGGCAGACCCTTCTCAGAGGAGATCTTTGCAGAATCTGAAAGCTCTCTCTCTCAATCTCCGAGTTCAATCACCAACAAAGACCACCAACAGCCCTCTTTGACAAGAAACTCCAATCTACCAGCACCTTCATCAGCGGACACCCTCAACAGCTTCATTGGCGAACTCCATCTCCGAGCACAAGACCACCCACTCCAAGCTCGAGACCTCAACCAGCGCGCTCGACACAAACCGACACCACTGCTGAAACGAACTCATCTTCCGTGCAGTCGTCGACCCAACAATCCTAGTGCTCCGACACAATTCCAATTCCTGCGTCCACTCCAAATACCGAAGCACATCCTCAGAACCTACACCAATGACGAACCCATCACTCTATTACCCGGTATCAGAGAACTTGTTGAGGGACAACTTGACAATGCACCACCAATTTTTCGACAACCCCTCCGATAGAGTCAGCAGCTCAGCACCAAAACAACAGTCCGAACTCGGTTCGAAATCAACACGTTCGCTACAACAACTCTCGCCAATCACGCCATCGCCCAATCCGGACTCGAACAACTCGACGACATTATCGAAGAAATCATTCCAGAAAAACCCAAATATCTGAAACTCTTCATCAAACTCCATCTTGGCACCAGCAAGTGGAAGACCAGTCTGCATACTGCACCAGCACACTCGACCCAACACAACTCGGCTGAACATAACCCAACACGCACCACTGTCAATATTTGCACAGAAAAGAAATAACAACCTCACAACGACTTTATCGACAATTGGCCCGCCGACAGTCTTCCCGAAGCTCTGCTCGAACTGCATGATTGACTGCAGACACGAATCTGACACCAACAACCAGTAGAAGAATGCATGTATCCAAAACCACGAAGAACATCCAGCAAGTCGGAAGAAGACCGACAACGGCTTATATGAAGTTTAGATAGAGATTTGAAGAATTTAGAAACAAAGAGAAAGAAAGACTAAGAGAAGTTGAATCAAATTGTTAGACCCTCCAAGAGATAGAATTACATCCGACACAAATTATTACCGCGAGCTAACTCCAACAAACCAGTATTGGACATCTGCGAAGAATACGACAACTACACAACACCACCGGACACACCATTGGCAGCACCCTCAATGGCACCCACCAAAGTGCCCGAGCCTAAATCAACACCCTTGACGGCACCCACCAAAGTGCCTGAGCCCGACCGAACATTTGAGTAGTCGACACAGACTACGCCCGAGCAACAAAACATTTTTCAAGCAGCATACAACCACTTCAAAGGTACATTCACCAACCCCATCTACAGTGATGACGAACGACCAAGTTTCCCGCCCAGCTTCACAGACTTCACCAGACCAGCACCATTTTCACCATACTGACCGATATTCACAACACCAATATATCCCACATTTGCTTCCAACATCTACCGAAGCCCACTATCAGCAAGACCTTTCGAACACGCTTTCAACTTCAACGCTCTGACGAGACAACAACTCGACTTCACCAATTATAGTCGCCCTCCGATATACTCAGTCAACAGCAGTAAAGATGAACAACCTGAATTGTCCAATAGTCAAGCACTCGACGTCAACAACTCACACCAAACTGCCGAACAGCTCCAATCATCCAACAACAACGAGATCGACAAACCAATCGTCGACGACGACAACAATCTTCCATAGCAACCACAATCACCACACAACTATACATTCGAAGAACTCTTTGACAATTTAGAAGAACAACCACAACCAAGACAACATAACTCTGACAAATATGTCGACAACAAGTTTGAGCACCATCTTCCAAAAATCAACACCGGCAAGCAACTCGACACCGACGACGACGTCGATGACACACCCAAAAATAGTCCCAATATAGAAGAAAAAACAGAGAAGAATCCACTAAATAACAACAACAATTCACCACCTTCTTCTTACACCAACTTTGCTATTGACCCTGACAACCCCTTGCTACAAATCACCTTAGGACTCCATGGTGACAACCTGACAAAACAACCTCGACAATACCAACATTACTACCAACAGCACATGGTAGTCACTACCGCCGTCGCCAACATACCTGTCGGAAGACATGTCTCCTATCCACTATTTCATGGTCTGAAGTCAGAAGATGCCAAGAAACATGTTGAACAGTTCCGAGAAGCAATCCGAATCAACAGCCAGACGACTGAACTTCCATACTATTTCTGATGTACCCTTTTGAAAGAGAGCCAACAAATGGGCTCAAACGCTTCCTCAAAATACAAGTCTCGATGGCCTCGCACTCAAGCTCGTAGAACAATTCAAGTCTTCCCTCACTCAAAGCCAACAACTTCACAAGATCCAAAAACTCAAGTAGAATTCTGGTCAATCCATCAACAACTACACTCAAACCTTCACTCAACATGCCAGCAAATGCGGCAACAGTGCCACCAAAACATTACTTTACCAATGGTACATGCAGGACTCCAATGATCCCTCTGAGAAGCGGCAACGCACATCAACGTTGCCACTTATCTCGAACTCACAAGAGCCCATCAAGATGTTCAAGCTCGACGAATGACAGAACAAGTAGATGACACAGATAACTCAGATTCTGATAGCAGTTCCGACGACAACTCCGAGATGAACTCGGAGAGAGCACCAAGTCAAAACTTCGGAAACTCAAGAAAACAATCGACAAGCTCAAGGGAAAAGCCAAGGCCGACATCAAAGAATTTCGATCTAGAATTTGGTGTACTAAGTGCAAGAACGAAGGACATCTGGCAAGTGACTACAAGCTCCAAATCTCCAAATGCCAGATCTATACCAAAGAAGGTCATGATGCAAAAACTTGCAGATTTTGAAATTCTCCAGAAGTTTGACAAGTCTTGAACTATCCCCGACAGCAATTTCAAAAACCATATCCAAATCAATACTTCAACAATTACCAGCCACCACCTCCAACAAACTGGAGATTGCTAAGAAACAACTTCCAACACCAGAGTCGACAATGGAATGATCAACCTCGCTACAACAATTACAACAATTACAACAACAACTACAACAACAACTACAACGATCAACAACACCCGCCGAACTAGAACTACCCAGCAAACCGAGACAACTACAACCAAGGATACCAACAATACCCAAGATACCAAAACCGAAGATACCAAGGCCAAGGTTATCAAGACCATGGCTACCAAGGCAACTGTAACAACCGAGCATGGCAACCTTGACTTCAAAACCAAGGCGGTCCGCCGAGACTTGGTCCACCGCCTCCTCGACAACAAGATCAAAACCAGCAGCAACCACCAACAACAAGGATGGTCGAGACCGACGAACTACCTTATGCCGACAATGATGACTCAGATCCTCAAGTCATGGTAGTACAAACCCGAGCACAAATTCGAGCAGAAAAACAACAACAACCAGACAGAGATTCCGGAGATAGTAAAGAGAAAGGCCCTGAGAGCCTGACAAAACTCCGGGAATGGGAAAAGAAGCAGAAGTTAGCTACCAAGATACAACGGCAACTCGCTCTACAACCACCCAAATTAGTAATTTTAGACTCCGACAATGAAGCTCAACCATCACCAGCTCGACAACAATGCCAAGACTCAGTACCAGAAAACCGACAGACAAATTGTCCAACATCAACATTGACACCAGAACACAATTTGGCAAACTTCGACAAAATCCAAGAAGTAGCAGAGACTATCCTCAACCAAAATATTCAGATCACCATCGGCCAACTGTTGAAGATTGCACCCTACCTCACCAAACAGCTCACCGATCTAACATCTGCACCGACCAACACTTTGACATACTCGCCCACACTCAACTCGACACAGACAGCTGTTGACACATTTCGAACCAAGATTCAACCAGGTGATTGTGACAATGATGTTCTGACAATTGACCTACGACTCGACAAACACCTTGTTCGAGGAGCCATAATTGACGGCGGCTCTAGCGTTAATATTATTGAAGAAAGTCTTGTTCAACAACTCAACATCGGCCCAGTCCACCCAGCACCTTTCAATGTCCGAATGGCCGACCACCGATCTATTCAACCCAAAGGCATCATCCGAAAAGTCAACCCCACCATTCAAGGTGTCGAAATACCAGTCAACTATGTCGTCCTCAAACTACCGAAGCAGACCGATAAATACTCGATTCTCCTCGGCCGACCTTGGCTCCGAACTGCCCAAGTTTATCAAGATTGGCCCAATGACAATCTTATCCTTCCCGGACCAGATGGACCGAAGACTGTGTTGACAAAAGCGACCAAATCGCTGTCCAGCCACAACTGATCTATTGACTTGGAAGAATATAATCTCGAAGATGGCCTCGACGACTATGAAGAACAACAAATTCTCAAAGCCTACCCCGATCTCGAACCTTTGGCCAAGATCGACCTCTTCCGAATTGTCACCGACTTCCAACGAGAACGACCCCCGATTACATCAGCACTGAAAAATCCAGTCACTCGAGATACAAAACTCGAAGCGCCACCGGCATTCACAGTCGACAACCACAACAAAGTTGCCTACATTCCGTCAATTCCAGCCGACCAAAAACTCAAAAAATTCAGCCTTGCCAATGACGGCAACGAACACTACATTGTACTCGGCCACCGACATCTTGGCAAGTTTTCGAGACAAAGGCATCAATCTTCTCCGAAAGAAGAAACACTTGTTCACTTGGAGTTATCGAGACCTTAAGGGAATTTTGCCAAAACTCAGCCTTCACACCATCACACTTCTTCCAGACTCTAAACCAAGAAGACAAGCAGCCTACCGGATGAATCTGAATCTGATGGAACAAGTAAAGAAAGAACTCGACAAGCTTCTCCAAGTCGAGTACATCTACCTGATTCAGAATCCGATTTGGCTTTCACCATTGGTGGTTGTGCCGAAGAAAAATGGCAAACTTTGAATCTGCGTCAACTATAAACAGCTCAACGACGCCACTGAAAAAGATGTTTTCCCGATACCATTTACCAACGAAGTTCTTGACGCAGTCATTGGACACGAGATGTACTCCTTCCTCGATGGTTTCTCTGGCTACAACCAAATTTACATTGCCGAAGAAGATCAGCACAAGACAGCATTCATCAGTCCATGGGGAGCCTATGCTTACCGACGAATGCCTTTTGGACTCTGCAACACCCCATTCACCTTCCAAAGGCTCATCACCAACACTTTCCGAGAATACCTCACTGACTTCATGAGAGTCTTCATGGATGACTTCAGCGTTTTCAGCTCGGAAGATCAACATCTTGAATGCCTGGAGAAATGCCTCAACAAGTGTGAGGAGAACAAAGACATTGCACTCAACCCCGACAAAGAACTTCAGCGCTTCCTTGGCAAAGTCGGATATCACCGATGATTCATCCACAAGTACGCTCACATTGCCAAACCACTCACCAATGGACTGAAGCAAGATGCCCAATGGACATGGATGTTTGAATAGCAACAAGCATTCGACAATTTCCGACTCAAACTAACAACAGCATCAATCCTTTCCAAGCCCAACTGGACACAAGAGTTCCACATTCATGTCGACACTTCCGACATTGTCACTAGTGCAATTCTCAGCCAAACTCAACACGACAACTGAGATCAACCAATCTACTACGCCAGCTGACTACTCAACCCAGCTGAACGAAATTACACCACCACCAAGAAAGAAGCTCTTGGCATGATCTACTCACTTCAAAAGTTCCGACACTACATACTGTCAACCAAAGTTGTCCTTTTTGTCAACCACAAGGCACTCTTTTACCTCATCAACAAGCCAATACTATCTGGTCGAATATTAAGATGGTTCTTTTTACTACAAGAATACAACTTCGAGATCATCCACAAACCCAGCAAAAATCACGAGCAAGCAGATTATCTCAGCTGGATCACCACCGGCAACAAACCCGAAAGACTTACTGATGACTTACCTGACTCAAACCTATTCCGAGTTTCAATACCAGCAACCTGGCTTGACGACGTCTTCAGTTACCTGAACTCAGCAAAAGTTCCAGATCAGTACACTACGTCTGACCAAAAGAAGACTTTTGTTGCTAAAACCCGACGATACTCAGTCATCAGAGGCACGCTCTACAAACTAGGAATTGACAACATTCTTCACCGATGCATCAAGCCGCCAAGCACAACTCAAATCATCAAGGAAGCTCACAATGGACCTTCCGGCGGACACTTCACCACTGACACCACAACTCGGAAGATTCTTCAAGCCGGCCTCTGGTGGCCGACACTCTGGCATGACACTGAAGAATTCTACAAATTCTGCGACACATGTCATTGACACCGATTACTGCCAAAAAACTCAGACTCAACAACTCAACCCAACATTCCCAATGGCACCATTTCAAAAATGGGGACTCGACTTCGTCGGACCCCAAGTCAGCACCCGTCAACAAAATCAGTACATCATCATCACCACCGATTACACTACCAAGTGGGCCGAAGCAATACCTCTCCGACATGCCACAGCGAAAGCAACAGCAACATGCAGTTCGAGAAAGGCTTCAGCAACTCGAACATCTCGACGAACTCCGACTCAACGCCCTCTGGACACTTCACGCCATCCAAAAACAGAGAAAAGCTCGGCATGACTGACAAGCATCCCGGTATAACATTCCCAAATACAATGTCGACGATCATGTTCTCTGATACTGAGGACCCATCGGCAAACTTGGCCGAAAACTCCACACCAAATGGCAAGGACCTTTCAAAATCATTGAACTATACCCCAACGGCACCGCCAAAGTCAGCACACTTGCTGAAGACTTCATTGAGATCGTCAACCTCAACAAGCTTCGACCATATCACGTCGACATATTCAGCATCAGCACCTCAGCAAATTTCCGACCCAAACTGACAAACACCCCAAAACCAACAATCGACACTCACCCCAGCAGACAAACTTTAACTCAAATCAGTTCGACACAACTCAACTCAACTCAACTCAACACGAACTCATCCACCAACTTCAGCAATAAATAGCAGCAAAAATCTCTAAGTCCCAAGCTACTGTTGGATCAACGCCACCTGAGCAAATATCAATAGTTGAACTTGAGTTAACTTCATCAGCAATATCCACCATTGATCTGCAATCAAGCCAAATCAAACCACATCAATTCCGTCAACAAATCTCTACCATTCATCACCAACAATCAAGCGCCACACAATCAGCCAACCAACAGTTACAAGTTTCAAGAACCCTAACGGTGTGAGCACTTCAACTACAGAAAATGAAGAGAAAGATGCCAGCTCATCCACCCTGGCTCCTCAGATATGTCATACACCATATTCCTAGGCTTCCCAGCAACGACACAACCACCTGGCTCAAGGGCCATGATTCGAGCTCCTCCACAAGGCCTTTGCAACACACCCTGATCAAAAACTAGCAAGGAAGCTGGCCGCCTCCTTCAACCCAAGAATGGCACCATAACCGACGGCACCAACGAAATCACCAAGAATCACCTCCGTTTTCAAAATCTCCAACAAGGGACTGCTCAAATTTTCAGGAGAAGTTCCACAGCAAATCATCAAGGCCAATCGAGAAATTACCGGTGAGCTCACATGGGAGGACATCGAGGAGCAGCATATGGATCGCCTCAAAGCCCTCCTCCTCTACTACGAACTTCGCCCAATAGATCGCACCATTGGCAAGTGCAGAGTAGAAGTCTACAGAGCTCTACTTGACGGCAAACGTGTGAACGTGGCTCATCATCTCCATGAGCTCCTTCTCAAGCTTCTCGACCGCGCCATCCTCGCCACACTCAACAAAAAGACCATGCGGACAGTAATATTCCCACTGCTGATTGCTCTACACCAAGCTCTTCCCAACAAACAACCGTGGACAACCCAAATGAACTCCACAGAACAAAGTGACAGCTCCGAAGACCAGTCAGAATCAGAAGGAGCAACTCCCAGCAAGAAACCGAAGCCAACATCTCAACAATCAGGCTCAACTCACTCCAACAACACCAGCTCTAGCAACAACACTCCAACAATTCAACTCCACTTCGCCGCCACCGCTGATCTGAGAGCACCTCATCATCAGCGACAATGAAGATAACTCACACCACCATCCACACTCACCCCAGAGCCCGCATCCACTCGAATCAGCCCCAAAACCAACAATTTCTCACAAACACATCAATATCGCCAAAGGAAAACGTCAGCTGCCCGCCCTGAACTCAATTTCTCCACCAGCTGAGAACAACATTCTCAACGCCTTGACCTCCTCGACACGTTCCACAAAAGAAAACATTGACTACCTTCACCAATCACTTGAAGAACACACAACCATGCCTCCTCCAGCAAATACCACGACCAGCATTCACAAAAATTCTGCCCCTTCAACAAAATTCCAAGCGAAAAATTTCCAAACGGATAAATTAATTTCAGCGTCACATCTGGGCCGTTTATCCACCATCAAACTGAAAAGCTCATCTCCAACCACCTCAAAGAATCTGGCCCGACCATGTCACCTACATCCAACAAAGCAAACTCAACTCCCGGGACCAAGAACACAGCGAGAAACACCAGGATCATGGAGCAGGAGTAGGAGCAGCAGCTATGCCTCAGCCACAGAGTCAAGTACGCCATGATTATGACGAGATCAGGAAGGAGTACGAAGATAAACTTTGCGACCCAAGCTACTACACCCGCAAGTTATTTGAAGCCCTCGATCAATGCATGCACCGCGAGCAAGCAAACTACTTCCCAACACGAGCCGACATTGCACAGCATCTTCTCAAGCAAGACTCCAGGGAGCGATTAAGAAGGAATTCTATGAGCCTTTAAACCACTAGTTGGATGCTCAGCTCGAAGAGATGAAGTAGATCTGCACTGACCTCCAGGACATCAGGAAGATCGTCTCCAAGCAGCCATCAACCCCATCAGCAGCTCACGAATTCACCTACAAATTCAAATACGAAGAGATCAACACTCGCTACTGAAAGCTCGAGGATGATCATACCGCCCTGCTAGCTGAGGTAGCCGACCTCCAGGAAGATGGGACAGATCCACCAGACAGTGTCCCTAACCACGAGCTTACACTCCCGCAGGAAAAGCATCGCCTCTATCGACTTGAGCAGCAGCAGCAACAAGTGATGGAAACTGACTATGTTCGCACCGAGGATGGTGTCTAGTTCTGTCAGGGGAGCAGAGTGTATCAACCAAAAACCCAGACTTAGGGGACTCCGACTTTGAACCCAAGGCTGCATCGGAGCCATAGATTAAATCATGCACAGCATATAGTATATGCTAGCAGTTAGAATTGCTAGCCTTTCAAAAGGGGGAATCTGAATTGTGAATACCTATCTCCATTCCATCGTTTTTCTTATCAATACACCGCATTCTTTTTCTCATGCTTCTTCTCTACCCTTGGAGATCGGGCCTTTTTCTCTTTTGTTTTCTTACTAACAATAGATTTCCAGCGAAGAGGAGTTTTCACACCTCTTCACATCGTTTGGCGAAAATCAAAAGGTGGCAAAGGTGAGGAATGAAGCTCAAGACAGTCTCTTCTGCGTTCTTGAGCAATCTGGACAAGAGTATATACATACCGCTTTAAATCACAAAAGCAATGCTTGTGATGCTTGCTTTGCGAGGTATTGTTTGAAGGCTTGTCTTGGTTTGAGCCAGACCGGATCATCCAGCCAAGCGCAGCAGACAAGCCCTTCTCGGGTGAGGAACTTCCTTGTTGGAATGCGAGCAAAAGTGCAGAGCAGCGTATCGTTATCCAAATGGTGGCAGCGTCACCTCTGCTATCGCTGTCCTTGCGACATTTGCTATTTTGACGAAGCTTACCTGTAGTTAACGAATGGTTCCATCATTGTTCTTGACGACGAGGAGGAGACGCTGCTCTGATCGTCATAGATTCCTCGCGAATTTCATCATAGAAATGTATGGAAAGTGCCGGCGCACCGCAGATGCCTTGGGTGTCCTCCACAAAATGGAAGATGGAAATGTTTTCTTCTGGAACGCATTTGCCCAGCAAATGCTCGTCCATCGAATTCTTGCAGCTATCAATGGCGATGTGGCGGAGATCCAGGTGAGAAACACATGGTGAGAAACACCAGGAACCTCGACTTAAGTTGGCAGAAGGCCCGCTCCAGGCCTGGTTGAAAGACTACTGCTGGAGGGTAAATCAACCACGGCCTTTGGAGGAGGCCATACCCCTGCTGTCTGGATGCTCGAAAAAGAGTAACAAGGGCAAATGCCGCGATCGCAATCTTCCACGAGAAAGAACCTCGATCTTTCATCTTCTGGAAGATTTCCAGCGCCCGCACTTTCCATACCTTTCTATGACCAGATTAGCAAGGAACCTCGAGGCCGCTGGAGACGATTTTCCTCGTGGATGCGCCTTCCCCCTCCCAGATCTGTGCTCACCGCATTCTCGCCCAGGCGCCCACCGCTGGAGATCGCTCCTCCTTCCTGCAAATCTTCGCTGGATGGCACCTCCTCGTCAAGGCTCAAGAACGATGCCATGGAAAACCACCGCCATTGCCATTATACGCTACTGCTGCACATTTTCGATCCAGGGGGCTCTTTACCCGGGCGGTGTGCTGCTGCCGGGCGTGCTCTATGAGTCGAGCAGCATGGTCTTTCTTCTCAGTCTCAGACATCTTCAAACTAGGCTCACAAGCACAAGCACTGCTTTTCCGCGGTATATATGGTTCTTCTCGTGCTCATTTTGTTTATACTCTTGTCCAGTCCAGATCGCTTCATTCCTCATCTTCGCCACCCTTTGGCCTCGAGCATTTTCCAAGATAAAATGGAGGCCTGTAGTTCATCAACATCCAAGGCGTGGAGTGACCACAACGCAACTTGTGATGAGATGAGTTGGTGACCTGGTATACGTTTTTTGTGTTATGCCATCTGCTCTTTGGAAACTTTTGAGAAAGCTTGCTCTGAGCTGATTGAGTTTGAGCTTGGTCAAGGCTCTCACAGGTTTATTGGATCTCTGGTGCAACCCTGGAGTTTTGTTTGCGGGTGAGTAAGCGTTCACGGTTTCAGAGCAATATATTATATTATTGCCAAGAGAAGGCATCAAAACTTGGAGCTCCAGAGTCTCACGCCCCGAGGATTTGAAAGGATCCAAACCTATGGACCTCCAGCTTGGACAACCAAGTGAAGAATAGATTCCCGGGACCATGGTGCCTGGATCAAATCAAACTCGAGCTCAGACAAGCCATCTTCCAGAACAATATCTTAAACGGATGTTGCTGGTTCTTGTTGCAGCATACTTATACTTTGTTTCTCAAAAATAGCTTCTGCATCAGCTGCTTGCTCAGATTGAGATCCAGAGTCCATCCAACCCGTTTTGTTTGCCATGGCCTCGCCAGAGCATGGAGAAAGTGAGAGTTTCATTCCATCGAGAAGAGAATGGTTTCTTTCTTGAGCTTGACTGCAGCAGATTTTTCTAGACATGCAAAACAACAGAAATCTTATAAAACCCACCTTGCATATGTCTCATGAATAAGTTCGGACTTTTCAGGAGTATCGGTGGGCGTCAAGCTCCTCTTTGTTTATAAATTGTTTATAAATGTAAATGCTCTTGTGCAGGAAGCTTATGAATAGTTCTTATGAAAAGCACCTCAACTCTTGTATCCATTTTCGTGGCTCGATTTTGGTAGCATCTGTAACGTTATGCGGCTGTAGAGTGGCTGTTGCCTGATGCATTCTTGAAACACTTTGCTCTCTTTAACAGAAGAAACAGTCTGTTGTAACACACAAAGCTTAGACATTTTTCACCCGAAAAGGAAAGAAATATACCTTGAGGTATAGCCTGAAGCCATGTCCCACAACTTGACGCCCAAGGAAGTTAATCACCCATGTCGGAACAAGGTCGAGCTTAAGGTCCAGGTGTATTACTGCTCTGTAAAAGAAGTAGTGACTATCTTAAGAAGAAAACAAAAAAAAAAAAAAAACTAATAGCGTACCTTATGTAGCATTTCTCGTCGCTAATCTTCTGGAGGATAAATCGACCGTTGGCTTCCATGCGAATGACGCCCTCTTTTGGAGGAGGCAAATGAGAAGCATTAAAACCATGGATGGTCTCCTTGACGATAGTCTCTGCTTCCTGGGGGACCTGGCAAATCACCACCATTGGAGTGAATAAAATAACAAAAGAGGCACAGTGATTGATAGCTTAACTGTTCGCAAGCAGCCAACCACGGCATCCAATTCAGGTAGCTCCAGTTCGAAAGACGTGACTAGCATTTCTCTTGTCGCAAACGGCCATGGAACCTTGCACCTGGCAAGAGCTTGTAGAATTTAAACGCGGGACGGAGGAGCTGCTGCACTACCACCAGCGTTGTGGCTTTTGGATTGATCAGCAGGGCACAAGGGATATACGTTGTAGTGAAAGCATTGCTTTCCCACAGTTCATCTTTCGCCCTTTTTGCTCTAAATACTCTTGTTGTGGACAGCCACCTTTTGGCCTCGAGTACTTTCCATGCATTGCCCCCTCTTCTTCACACAGGGTGTGACTTGAAATTTCATGGATTTTTTCTTGTTGCTGCTAGGAACAAGCATCAAACTTGGATAGAACACGACAAGAAAGCCCCTTGATGAAATCTCAAGCTCCCCAGGATTTGAAAGAACAGAGAAGTACCTCCAGCCTTGTACTCTTAACTTTGCTGCTAATCAAGAGCGTGCCTGGATCAATTTAATCTTCAATGCTCAAACAAGCCATGAAATCTTCATTCCATAATGGTTTGAGCTTGACAACTGCAGAAAGGATGACAGCCTTATAAAACGTTCCCACAGGTTTAGAAAGGATGCTTAGAAATGAGCGAGAGCTTGCGCCGTTATGGTGAAGGTATGATATACGTTAAGAAGCAATTAGTGTCCGATTTGGACGGGAACCTGATGGCCGGATATCTGGCTAGAATAAACAAATATATTGGCAAGGTCACAGGTTCGAATCCACAGCCCAATCAAAAAAATTTGCAACGCTTCTCCCTCCTTTGCATCTTGTGATCAGAGCGAGCTCTTCTGCCTGCAGTCATCTCGGGATGAGAACTACTTGTCGTCCATAGCCCAAGACTACAGCATGTCCACGATCATGGAACATTTAAGATGCTTGGTGGATCTGCTGGGGAGATCTGGGAAGCTAGACGAGGCCAGTGTCGAGCCAAATTTCAGCGCTGGAAAATGAAAGAGTGGGGAAAAGTCCGATGCTAGTTGGACCTGTCCTCTGGGCTGGAGATCATGACTCACAGCCATTCGAAGGTTGCCAAAACTCTTGGGCATCGGTAAACCGATGTCCAGGGTCGTGTCCTGTCTCTGCTCCGCTCAATCGCTCGCGTTCCAGCTTGCAGAGTGTGCGATCGTAACGAGGCTGCATTGCGAGTCACGCGAGGCGCAAGTTCCTCCTCCAAATCTATTATCGTTCCAAGCGAGAGACACATTCCAGGATCCTTTCTCTCTGGGCTAGATCGACCACTGTCTTTTTTGTCTCTCGAGCCTGCGGGAGGGAGAAACAAGGAAATTCCAATATCGTCGCCTACACTTGAAAAAAGTGTTTTTAGGTGGTTCTCTGGCTGTGGATTCGAACCTGTGACCTTGCCAATAAATTTCTTTATTATCTGGCCAACAGGTTCCCGTCCAAATTAAACATTAATAGCCTGTTAAAGTGTTTCGCTTGTTCTTGATTTTGAGTGAATGGCACGCGTGCTGATTTCTTGTTCCGTATCAATCACGTGGGCAAGGTCGCGCGAAGTTTCCAAGCCTCTCTTCTTGGTTCCAGGATTTTTTTTGGAGCAAAATTTGTTTCTCGGAACAAGAAAAGTTTCTGGAAAATGAGCAAGTTTGATTTGATCCAACCACCCTCTTGAAGAGCAGAGTTGAGAGGCATCTGGAAATGTCAAGAGTGCTGGAGGTTGGGGTATTTATTTGTTTCTCTCTTCTTTGCAAGATCAAATCCTCTGGCCATGTTCAAGACCATGAAATTAAATACTCACTCCCAAAAACACGAGAGGCACATCCCTGATTTGGTGCAACTGATTAGACTCAGAACCTGAGGGTTGATGCACCAGTGATTCCTTTGTTATTCATTGCAGCCTGTGAGAGCCTTGATCGAGCGTCAGGTGAGAGCAAAGAAGAAGCATGACAAGCGGTGGAATGATACAACACAATGCTCTGCAAGGACCCACGTCGAGAAGAAAGGCTACGCTCTCGCTCAGCTCCACTCTTTCTTACATGAGGTTGGCACAAGCGCGGCAGTCAAACGCTGCTCGAAAGTGTGGAGCAGCGTATCGTTATCCAGGTCGTCAGTAGTCCTCGGCCATTCGCTATTTTGACGAAGCATGTAGGAGGAGCTAGTGGTGGATTCAAACTTGGACACCCCCTCTAGCTGAAATGCAATGATACTTTCGTAGACAAGGCTGCATTGCGAGTCACGCGGGCTGCAAGTTTAAGCTCCTCTCCTCGTCCAAACCTGTTGGCGTTCAAGCGAGCAATGCTGAGACGCGTTCCAGCATGACTTTAAAGCAAAAGGAAGAGTCTGGGCTAGATCGACACACTGACCATGATCATCGTGGCTGCTGCTGCTGCTCAAGCACTCCAGCGAATTCCATAAAGACCCAGGTGCCGGCAAATTCTTGCGCAAGCGAAGTAAAATTTAATTGGGTCTCTGGCTGTGGGTTCGAACCTGTGACCTTGACAATAATTGTTTTTATTTGAGCCAGATATCCGGCCAACAGGTTCCCGTCCAAATTATGCATTAATAGCTTATTAACGTGTTTGTTACTTTCATGAATCGTTTCTTGAAATTCTGGGCATGGCGCTCAGCTGGCACGCAAATGTTTCCCATCAGTTTGATTTGATCCAGGCACCCCCCTCAAGAGCACCGGTGCGTTCTGCCCAAGAGATTCGAGCTGCAAGGCATCTGGAAATGTCAAGAGTGCTGAAGGTTGGGGGTAGTTGTTTCTCTCTTCTTCGCAAGATGAAACCCTCGGGGAGCTTAATTCATCAAGACACCACCCAAAAGCTTCCAGTCTGATGCTTGTTCCTATAGAAAAACCATGTTCAAAACCATGAAACAAAACAGAACATCTTTGAGTTGGTGCAACTAACTTAGACTCGGAACCTAAAGCTTGTTGCATCAGTGATATCCACTGTAGTCAAGTCCCGAGTACGTTGTGAGAGCCTTGATCGAGCATCAGGTGAGAGCAAACAATTCCTCAAGAGCTGCTTGCAGGTTTAGACTCTGCATAGCTGATGGCTGACAAGAGAAGAAGCATGGCAAGTGAGGCGATGATACAACACAAGGATCTGTGAGGTTCGAAGAAGTCCCTCAACTGCTCATGGGTACGTTAAGCCACTGCGAGCATCGTAAGGGACAAGGAGAAGCTTTAAAACATGACTCCACTAGCCTAGTCACACCCACAAGCTTATGCGAAGCACTGCATTTGACACATCGTGTATTATCCAAAAACCCAGGCTCAGGGGACTCCGACTTTGAACCTAGGGCTGCATCGGAGCCATAGATTAAATCATGCACAGCATATAGTATATGCTAGCAGTTAGAACCGCTAGCCTTTCAAAAGGGGGAATCCGAATTGTGAATCCCTATCTCCATTCCATCATTTTTCTTATTAATACATAGCATTCTTTTATTCGTGCTTCTTCTCTGCCCTTGGAGATTGGGCTTTTTTCTCTTTTGTTTTCTTACTAACAATAGATTTCCAGCCAAGAGGAGTTTTCACACCTCTTCATTTGGCAACCACGGCTTTTGAATTCCCCTTTAGGTTCAGAAATTCTTCAATTCTTTCTCCATTCTTTGTGTGCAGATAGCAAGAACAATCAAGCAATCTACCCAACTCGCCAAAATTCGCTACCCAA